CTGGATAAATACTGATTTTGACAAGTGTTACAGACACATTTCTTCACTCTATAGAAAGTAAGACCTTAATCCCTTCAGGGTTGCCTTTCCTAGACCTAGGTTGAACTCATTCTTAACTCCCTAGACTCCCTTTCCTGTTTGGGCCCCAGGTACGCCTCTTGTAAAATCAGGTCAGAACTGTTTTCTGAAATCTTAGCCCACATGCCTTGGATTCTACCTGCAGAATTTCACTGTTTAGGATTAAAACAAAACCCTGGATATGGAATCAGAGAATCCCCTGTTAAATCCTAAACCCTTAGATTTAGACTTGGAAAGGACCTTGAGGCCAAGCCTCTTAATTTATAGATGAAGGAGGAAGTCCGGGCCTCTTGCCACCATTCCACATTGCCAGTTTAGTAAATACTTGATTCAGAATATGTTCCCTTCTCCTGGCCTCAGTTTCCTAATCTGTAAAATGAAGGGCCTGTACTCAGACTTTAAGGTCCCTTTCAGATCTTAATCCCACAAAAAAGAATTTTCTTGGTTTATTCTGGTCACGATCTGGTGATGAACTTCCCCCAATGTGTTCAGCACTTTGACCTAGTGCCAGAGAACGGTGACTTATCTATTGCCTTAAGCAAGGTTTGATCCCCCTATGTGGGTCCCCAACTGAGGATAACTTGTCAGAGGAACTGGCTGTGATTTACCATCTTTATGACCTTGAGCAAATCACTTAACCTCCCTGGGGATCAGTGTTCTCATCTTTAAAATGAGGATGTTGGACAAGATGGTTTCTGATGCCCCTTCCAGCTCTGGATATATGACTTTGGGGGGAGGGTGGGCAATTTCCACCCCCCAAGGTCACATCGCAAGTAAGTATCAAGTGTCTGAGGTTGGATTTGAACTCGGGTCCTCCTGACTCCGGGGCTGGTGCTCTATCCACTGCACCACCTAGCTGCCTGCTGGAAATATGGTCCTAAAAACAAGTGGGTTTCGACCCTCACAGAGCTTACAGCCTAGGACCAGAGATGAGGACAGGACATAGGTATAACATGGGTTAAGTGCATAGGATAGCTGCAGACAAACAGCGGTGAGAGATTTGAGGTGGGAGAGATCAATTTTCTGCTTGGGCTTGTATGTGTGGAAACTGGGGAGGCTTCACGAAAGAGATGGCCTTTGAACTGTGTCTTGAAGAATGACTAGGATTTCAGTAGGCACAGATACCGAGTACCCACCTCCTGTAAACAGACTAAGATAGGACAGGCTTCCTACCCCCCATTTAATCCATGATATTCTAGGCAAAAAGAGTGTAGGAGACAGGAAATGGGCTGTATGGGGCATTTTGGATGCGCCCCTATATCTTTGCTTCCTACCAATGCTTTGTGCTTCCTTCACTCCTGTTAGGGGCTCAAGGAAACTAGCATCTGGGGAGAGGGCCAGTGTCATAGAACTTGGGGCATAGAGAACTGTCTTAGTACCTGCTATATCTCAGAGCTATCCTACTTTAAGGAAACCCACTGCATAAAAACTCACACTTCAAAAACAAACTTGGTGCTGATAATTTGGAAATTTTCATTTCCAAAGAGTGGCGATGGGGTGACTTCACTAGGGTAGGCATTCAGTAAGTAAATATCAAAAAGATTAATGTTTGTGAAGTGCTCAGCACAGCGCCTGCTACCTAGCATGGGCTTCATAAATGCTTGCTCCCTCCTGATGTCTGTTGACTCTTCACTGCAGGGTTCTTTAAATAGCCTTTCCCCATTTGAAATGGGATCCGATTTACAGAAATTGTTTTTATGCCGTGTTTCTTTTGAAAACCCTATTTTCACTCCCCAAGGGGCTAAGGGAAACTGAGTACTGGTGAATGGGCAGTGGACCAGTATTCTAAACTGAAACCCCAATGATGGGTTTCCTGGGATAACATGAAATAAACCTGGAAAGGTAGTTGGGAACCAGATTATAGAAGGCTTTCAGCATCAAGTGGTGGGTTTTATATTCTAAAGCTAATTCTACAGCTTGCTAATGTTGCCTTTTTTTTTTTTTTTGAGGCAGTCAGGATTAAGTGACCCGCCTAGGTCCAACAGCTAGTAAGTGTCTGAAGCTAGATTTGAACTCGGCTCCTCCTGACTCCAGGGCTGGTGCTCTATCCACTGCACCACCTAGCTGCCCACTGCTAATGCTTCTTGAGCAGGAAGAAGACATGGTTGGATGGTTGTACTAACGTGGTACCTTTGGAGAGGGGAGAGTAGAGGCAGGGATCCCAAATAGGAGGCAATTGCAATAACCAGGCAAGAGGTGATAAGGACACCTGAACTGGGGTAGAGGAAGGAAGGAAAGAGACAATTTTATGAGGGGCCTGGCAGGTACCAGGCATTGTACTAAGTGTTTTAACAACACCTCATCTGGTCATCGCAGCAGCTGTGTCAGGTAAGTGCTATTATTAATCCTATTTTTTTGTGGGTGTCATTTCAGCGGTTTCTGACTCTTTGTGACCCCATCTGGGGTTTTCTTGGCAAAGACACTGGAGTGGTTTGCCATTTCCTCCTCCAGCTCACTTTACAGATGAGGAAACTGAGGCAAACAAGGTTACATGACTAGCCCTGGACCACGAAGCTAGTAGATATCTGAAGGTGTTTGCCTCGCTAGGTCGTCCTGACTCTAAGCCTGACTCTTTCTCAACTTGTACCTTGGAGCTTAGAATGGTCAGCCTGCCACTGGGATAATCCGTCTTTTAAAAACTGGTGATTGTTTTAAATGAAGTTATTGGAGAGATTTATAACCCTACTGTCCCCTTTTCAGGCACCAGAGGGGGCTAGGAGAGAGTAGACTCAGAAACTTGACCGGGAGGCGTTGGATTTGGCAAGGGAATCAGCTTTGTATGCTCTCTCTCTAGAAAAATCTGTCTCTTTCTCTGAGATGAGGACCTCTTGCATCTTGAACCCAAGCCCAGCATTCAGGCTCATGTTTTTCTTTATTGTGCAGTTAAGATAAAAGATCTGACCCCTGGAATTCCCTTCCCAAATAAAGACTTTTTTTTAGGCTTTGAGCACAGGTCTGACCAAGTCGCATCCCTAATTCAAATCAACTCCAGTGTTTGCCTGTGACTTCCAGGATCAAATAGAAAATCCCATTTGGTTTTTAAAACCCTTCCTACACTGGCCCCTTCCCCCCTCTGCAGTCTTGTTACACCTTACTTCCCTCCCTGCAGTTATCCTATAATCCAGTGACACTTGAACACTGCCTTCCCTCTCCTGACTCCTGTGCCTCTGCACTGACTGTCCCCCAAGCCCCTCACCTCTGTGCCCTCTGCTTCCTTTCAGTCTCGCCATCTGGAGTGGGGCTTTCCTGGCCCTTCCCACTGCTAGTGCCTTCCCTCTGAGATTGCCTCCTATCCACACTATATCTTAATTCTGTCTTCCTGTCCCTAGCACAATACCCAGAAAACCGTAGGTCCTTAGGGGTTTGTTGTATTGAAATGAACTGAATTCAGTTGAAATACACGAATACTGTGGGAAGGGCAGAGCCAGGTCCTGCCCATTGGAGTGTGAGCTCCTCTGGGGCGAGGGCTGGGTTTTTGCCTTTCTTTGTGTCTTCAGTGCTTAGCCCAGTTCCTGGCACAGAGCGCTTGACCGATGCCTATTGACTGACTTCCTGACCAAATGGCAGCAGCTCAGGGAGGAAGAGGTGGAATGGGAAGGAGCTCCCCGCTGCTTCTGGCTTCTGGGGCCCAAGATGACCAGAGGATGGACCCAATCAGTGTCTTCCAGGGCCTGTCTGTGGTCAGAAACCCATCTGGGAGATCACAGGTGTCTCTGCTGATTCCCTTGCCAAATCTAATGCCTCCCAGTCAAGTTTCTGCGTCTGCTCTCTCCTAGCCCCCTCTGGTGCCTGAAAAGGGGACAGTTGGGTTGTAAATCTCTCCAATAACTTCATTTAAAACAACCACCAGTTTTTAAAAGATGGATTACCCCAGGGGCAGGCTGACCATTCTAAGTTTCCAAGGTACAAGTTGAGAAAGAGTCCCCTTGGGGGTAGCTAGGTGGTGCAGTGGACCTGAGTTCAAATCCAATCTCAGACACTTGACACTAGCTGTGTGACCCTGGGCAAGTCACTTAACCCCATTGCCTAGCCCCCCCCAAAAGAGCCCCCTTAATTGCTTAAATGGACAGGATGGGGGGATATAGTGATGCAGTGGAATGAAGCCCAGACTAGAAGTCAAGTGGCCTGGGCTCCAGTTAACTCCCTGTGTGACCTTGGGTAAATCCCTCCCACTCTCTGGGCCTCAGTTTCCCCATTTGTACAATGGAAGGATTGGACCTGATGATTTCTAAATTCCCCTTCCAGTGCTAAGCCTCAAGGAAATCTCTGCAGAAAGGGTTTTTCTTCCTTTCTTGGACTTCCCTGGAAAGTTAGGGGCTCCTCAAGCAGTGCCCAAGGTTCATAGATTCCCCCAAAACTCATTAGTACAGGTGATGTGTCTAATATTAGCCGACACTCTACATGATGCTTTAGGTTTACAAAGCGCTTTAAATACATTCTCTCATTTGAACCTTGCAGCACCCTGTGACGTGGGGTAGTTACAGCTGTTATTAGCTTCATTTTGCAGATTAGAGAGGTTAAGGTGACTTGCTCAGGGTCACTAGTACCTGTCCCGTCTCTACTGTAAAAGAGGGCACAGTTCAATGTACTTTCTCTGCTGTTCGCTACTGCTCCCTTGTTCTTTATAGCAGGCACTCTATAACCATACCCATTTTACTTATCGTTCCTGGCTTAGTTCAAACCCTTCTGTAACCTGTGTAAAAACAGAATTTTGCCAGGTGGGCCTGAGTGCCGGGACCCCTGTTCTTGAATCCCAGCTCAGCCACCAATGAGTTGTATGACCCTTGGTAAGTCATTTCACATCTTAGGTCCTCACTTTTCCCCATCTGTAAAACAAATCCATTGGACTAGGCCAGTGGTGTGGTGGTGAATGTTTAACAACCAGCTTTTTTGAAACAAACCCGCACATGGACCACATGACATACTTTTAAGTTTGATTTGTATTGCCATCATTTTCTCTTACCACTTTCTTAAGACTAGACAATCAGCAAAACAATAAATCAAGACTCGATTTGTAGCGTGTTTTTCCCCCCCTGATTTCCAAGATGTGATTGCTCACACTGAGAATTTTACAACTGGCCTTCTGCGAGCCGATGTGAGCTGGCTCTAGTACCCCCCCCCGGAGGAGTCCATCTCTAAGGCTTCCTCCCAGCCCCAGGATTCCATGACTAGGAGATGGGCACAGCCGCCATTTTGTGCCCAGTCCTTGCACCCTCACAGCACCCTCCTGACTGAAGCCCTGACACAAAGTTCCTTGTTCTTGCAATACTCAAAATAAACAGAGAAAACGAACACCCCCCCGACACGCCTATTCCCCACCCCTACCCTCACCCTGTCTCCCCCCTCAAAAAAAAGAGGAAAGAAAGAAGAAATAGAAGGGGGAAATGGTTGCTAATTTATACAGGGAAATATCTCAGTTAGCAGTCTTGTAGTAGACATATTTGTTGCTGCTGCATGTCCATGAGCTGGGTTAAATATATCTCTCTGATGGGCCAGCCTTTCCTCCTGGTCTGATCAAGGGCCTGCAGAGTGGGAGGGAAGAGACAATTATTGTTAATAATATTTCACATTCAATCTGGCAATTAACGGCAAGAGCTACACAGTCATTCATGTCCTTTGAGCCAATAGGCCTGCTAATCAGTACTATACCCAAAGGAAATTAAAAGAAGACCCATCTATACCAAGATACTCCGTTTTATTTCATAAGAGCAAAGACCTGGAGCCAACCCATGTGTCCAGATTGAGGAGTAGCTGAGTAATAATAATAATAATAATAATAATAATAATAATAATAATAATAATAATACCTAAAATTTATAGATCACTTTAAGGTTTGTAAAGCGCTTTACAAATTTTATCTCATTTGAGCGTACACTTTGGGAGGTAGATTCTGTGAGAGATGAAGTGGCTTATCCAAGGTCACAGTTAAGCAGTATCCGAGGCTGGATTTGAACTCGGGTCTTCCTGACTGCAGGCCCAGCGCTCTGCACTGTGGCACCACCTAGCTGTCAAAGATGTAAGTGACTAAGAAGGATACAAAGCTATCTGGGAAGACTTCCCTGAAGTGATCTTAGGATCTTGGCTTTAGAGCCACAAGGGACCTTAGCAGCCATATAGTCTGACCTCTTCATTTCACAAATGGGAAACTGAGACCCAGAAAAATAACATGACTTGCCCAAAGTCACATAGGTGTCAGCAAGTAATGGAGTCAGGATTTGAACTCGGGTCCTCTGATTTTCAATTCTACAGTACCAAACTACCTTCTGATGCAGACTTAAGAAACCGGAATCAGAACAATAGAAAAACTGATGAAAACTATATTTTAAACAAAATTCTAGCAACAAAATCCCTCAAAATATACAGCAGAAAAGGAGTTGAGAGAGGGGGCATGGACGTAGGATGTTTTGGCCATTATATAGTTAAAGGTAAGCAAATCATAAATAATGGCATTTAGTCTAATGTATGATAATTTTCTTATTTTCATTTGCTCATTTTCACTGACGGTTACTAACTTCCCTGTAACTTTCTGGACCACTCCACTAGCCATGTTATCTCCCTCATTAGAATATAAACGTCCTGAGGGCTGTGATTGTCACAGTACCTTTGTTCTTCCAGCATTTTTCATTGCTTTTTCATTCATTCACTCAAATTTAGAATAAACAGAAATAACACATTATATTTCTATCTTATTTTACATGTTTTTCATGATCTGATAAGGTAGGTGGTATCAGATTTATCCTCTACCTGTCTGTATTTTGCAGATGAGGAAACTGAGCCTCACAAAGGTGAAGGAAGTGGCTTGCCCACTGGGGTCACCCAAGTTAGTATGGGGCAAAGTTGAGATTCGGACATAGCTCACATCTAAAGCTCTTCCCCTTGCATCAGCTGGTCAAACCCTACCATAAAGCCCTGGGCCGTCAGGGCTTCAGCTCCCCGTCATGCACCAGGTCACATCCCCTGTATGGGCATATCACCCACAAATCCTTTTAAGGGGGGAGTTATGTTGACGTCCCCCCTCCAACCTCAAGGTTTTGCTGATTGTTGCACAGAGAGGAAGCACTGAGGTGGAGTTGTAAGAGGGAAGCTGCTCCAGCTCCCTTCACATGTAGGCAGAGGAATCTGGGAGGCTCTGGTGAGATGCAGCTTCTGCTTCTCCAGGTCTTCCAGCTATGGAGCTGGAAGACACTTTGGAGGACATCAGGTTTTACAGATGAGGAAACTGAGGCCCAGAAAAGGGAAGGGACTTGAGCAGAGGGTGATACAGGTAGTAAGTGGCAGAAGGAACTCTACATAGGTCATAAATGGAAGAACGAGGGTTCTGGACCAGGTCTTCTGACCCCAAAATCTGTATTCTTTCCACCACACAAGCACCTAGTGTTAAAATGCATGTCACCTGGGCGGAGTTCTTATTCATGCCCCTTAATACATCAGTATATTTTATCAGTTCCAGATCATAGATTTAGAACTGGCAGGCACTTAAGACCATCTAATCTAGTAGATGAAGAAACTAAAGTAAAAAATTGACCTGCCCAGGCTCACATAGGTAGTAAGTGTCGTAGTCAGAATCTGAACCCAGATCTTCTTGCCTCCAAGTGCAACATTCCGCCAGCTGGACCTGTTATGCCCTTGGAAACCCACAAATGTTTCCTCATCTCAGGCCACAGGATAAAAGACAGGTAAATTGATGGGAAAGTGGAGATAAAACAGATGCAGAGCGTGAGATATAAGCCAGACAGATCAGGTCTGGGTGGGCTTAGAGCAGTTTACCAAAGAGTGACTAGGAGGTCTGTGGGGGAGGTAGAGGCAGAATGGAGTGGGGGACACAAACACAGGAGAATGTGGGGACACTAGAGACAGCTTCCTGTATTCCATGGTTTTGTGGTTTTGCCTTGGGTGGGTCCCACTTGTTCTAAGTCACAAGTGGGTCACCTCTTTTGCCCTGAAATCCACAAATGAGGGTTAAGGAGTAAGCGTCCTTCCCCCATCCCATTTTTGCCCACTGTACAAGAAGGCCCACCAGGCAAGAGAGAAAAACAAAAATGAAACGAGGGAAAAAAGAGGAAATGATCATAGAAAGGAGGAGAAACAATGAAAATGTAGAGATAAAGGGAAAACAAGGCAGGGAATAACGGGACCCCAATATTGCCTCAAGAACTCCTTTCAGAGTCAACATCCCTTTTAATTCGCTTTTTCATTCAGGAGATGGAGTGCTGAGTTGGGGGAACAGCAGGACGAATAGTGAGCAGACAAGAAGGGTAAAGCCAATGCCCAGGGAGACTGAATTATGCCCACTCTGACCCACACCCCAGGCTTGGTGAAAACCTCCATTAAAACAGTGCTGCCACAGGAAGCCAGAACAGATCAGAGGGGAGGAAGGGGATGGGTTGGGTTTGAGGGAAGGGGGTGGGATGAGAAGAGGGGCCAGCGGGTAGAGCAAACCCACCCTGAGAATTTATTGCCGAGACTTAGGTAGGCGGATGCTCGAGCCTGGAAACCATTTTCTGTCTGAAATCGAAACTCTATCTGGCCTCTGGAGGAGCCAGTCTGGAGATACAAGAAAGTAGGTGACCAGAGGAAAAGATCAGGCCTTATTTTGTACAGAAAGGACTCTCATCCCTAGCTCCCTCTGCCCCTGTGTGGGCCACTACAACATAACACACAGGCCAAGAACAAGTTTTCAGCACGTCCGACAGACTCTGTAAAGAAGACGTAGGTGATTGGGATTCACTAACTCAATGTGACCTTGAGCAAGCTAATTCCCCTCTCCAGGCTTCGGCTTCCTCACCTACAAAATTAATAAACTGGTCTTAATGATCTCCAAGGTCTTGACTGGTTCTGATTCTGTGACCATATGATGTTACAAATATAACTCTGCCCTTCCTGCAGTCTGAGCTATATGGTAGGAACAGCTTCAGATTGTTTTGGCCTGGAGATCAATTGGACCAAGAACCATTGGGGAACCTCCTTATAACTCACCATGGCAAGAAGAACGTGAGAATGAGCACCAGAGAACGATGGGGAAGGAAGATGATGGGGTAGATAAGAGAGAGTCCTTCCATTTGCCTAATATCACTGAAAAAAATAATTTCCTGCCTGAAATATGGGGAAACAGCAAACACCAATAAGACATGCTGAGAAGGCAATGAGAAAAACCTAAAAAGGATAAAATCCACCCAGTTCTGTTGTTGTTTGTCCTTCATTCTTGAAGAGGACCAATGACATCAAGAAGGTGATATCTTGACTTGCAAGTGAATTGGATTTAAGTGAGGCAGAGCTGTGCAAAGTCACCAGCCTCACTCTCACCTCCAGATTTACATGGCAAAACATAGGTCAGGCGAGCTGTTGATAGCTCCTGATGCAGTGGGAAACCTTGGCCTTTCCCAGGTGTCAGTTTGTCTGAGGCAACACCCATTCAGTAGTTTAGGGCTAGGTAAGAATTGGGGCAAAAAATGACCTAGTTTGCCTTCACGAAAGAGTCAGTCTGGGAGGGGAAGACCCTCCAGCTACATTAAATTAAAATAAATAAGGCCTAAATAAGTTAGGAGCTGGTCTCCTATGATGTCATAGTATTCAGTAAATTTTATAGGTAATTAAACAGTGGCAAAAAATGTACTAAACTGTGGAATCTCGATAGTACCAAATGTCTCCAACAACATAAGAGTATTCAGAATTGAAAAATGTACAGAGCTGTGTGGAGAAATGAACAAAAGTGTAATTGTAATCAGAGATCTCACCACTGTCCTCTCAGAACGTGGCAAAGAAAGCCGACAAAGGATTGAAAAAGGAATAGAGAGTTTGAAGGATTCATTAAGTACAATAAAAACTAATTAACATATGTAAGGAGAAACATTTTCCTTCCAAATGTATGCGGACCGGTCACAGAAACTGACGACACAAAAAGGCAGAAATTTTGTATACTGTATTCTCAGATCTCAGTATAACAAATTAGAAAACAGAAACATAATTTAGAATTTCCTGACCTCGTGGAAAGTTTTAGAAATGGCAACCAGATTGCTAAGATAATACTGGAATCAGAGAGGAAACCTATAATACAACACATAAGATTTAAAAACCAATAAAAATACAAAAAATGTTCAGTCGTGTCTGACTCTTCATGACCCCGTTTGGGGTTTTCTTGGCAAAGATACTGGAGTGGTTTGCCATCTCCTTCTCCAGCTCATTTTACAGATGAGGAAACTGAGGCAAATAGGATTAAGTGACTTCCCCCAAGTCACACAGCTAATAAATGTCTGAGACCAAATTTGAACTCAGATCTTCCTGACTCCAGGCCCAGCACTTTATCCACTCTACTACCACCCCAAATACAAATATGATATATCAAAACTTAAGTGATATGGATAAAGTAGAATGTAAAGAGAAATGTCTGACATCCAGTACCTATGTTAGGAAGAAGAAAGGGAGGGAAATGATGAATTCTCTACCAGAAAAACTTAGAAAGAGGATGGATCATATTTCATATTTATATAGCACTTTATGCTTTACAAAATGCTTTTCTCCCAAT